GTGACACCATCATGTGATGATACTGGCACATGACCGCGTTCAAAGTAAAGCAGAAGGCAGGGGAGATATGCACCGTATGGTCTAACTACATAAGATGAGTATCAAGCACAAGCTCAAGTTTATGAAAGCTTGTGCTCTCTCTCTCTCTATGTATCTTATCTAGTTATAAGGTTCATATCTTCCCTCCCTTCTGCTTGACGTCAGACTAACATGGCTAGCTACTGCTCTCTGCTCTTGGTTGAAGTAAGCCTTTATTGCCACTCAGAGCTGGTCTTAAGGAAAATGGTGCCCTGGGCAAACTTGTATTTTGGTATCCCCCACCCCCAGGCTGCAGGCAGAGTTAGAGGCAGGTGGGCAGGGGTGCAGGGTGCAGTCTGGCAGGGAGGCGGAGTGGCATGGTGTGCCAGGCAGGCAGGCACCGCTGCTGCTGTGCGGGAACAAGACGGGTAGGCTGCAGCAGGCACAACCCTGCCCACACATGCCTGGCCTGCTGGCTCCTCCTGAGCAACAACTGGAGGCATGAATGCTGCATGCCCCTGAAGGCTGGGGGGACACGGCGACTGCCCGCAGGCGGCGCTGGCAGTTTTGGCAATGTGGGGGCATGGTGGTGGTGAGCAGGGAGCTCCCAGAAGTGGCCACAGAGGTGTCAGCAGCAGGAAGTGGGGAGAGGTGGGGGTTTCGAGTGCCGGCCAGCGGTTGGCGACCACCTGCAGATGCCGCCAGCAGTCGGTAGCAGCCAGGAGTGATTGGGGATTGCCCACAGACACCACCAGCAGTGTCAGCGGTGGGTGGGGGTGGGTGGCGAGCGGCACTTTTTGCTGGGGGTGCACCGCCAAGCTCAGGGGATAAATGTGCACCCGCGTGCAACCCCTACTTGTCACCAATGACTGGAGGCAGGGGGAGGCTGAGCTGGGCACCACTCCTGTCTGGGGTGGGGATTGACCAGGGTGAGGCAGGGCAGGGGCAGAGCACTGCTATGAGTTTGGGCTGCTCACACGTGTATGAGTGTGTGCATGTGTGTGTGTGTTTGGCACCCCCTTGACCACGTCGCCATCAGCAGTCACTCATGTTGCCCACCCCTAAGGCCAGCTCTCTCACTACTCTGCGGTCCACTGGCAAATATTCAAGATGCCTTACACATGGAAAGAGAGACTTTCAAATGCCCCTAAAGGGCATCAGAGCACCAGACTTACTCTGAGTTGCTCTCCAAACCCCTTAGAGGCTTTCAAAATATCTTCCAAAGTTCTCGCCTATGATAAACTTTCTTCTATTTCACATCATTAGCGGCAGCAATGGCAAGAGCATAGACAAAGCACCAGGAGCCAGCAGGACACCTTCCACCATGCCGTGTACACTTTCTGAGTTGCTTTAGATGGGCATGATGTTTAGCACACTGGTGCGCACCTGAAATCTTGTTTGTCCTACTACTCCTCCTATTGGCATTACTGTTGGGTCTGAATTGCCGTTAGCAATGGTGGGATTTTTTAGTCAGGGCCCAGTGCACACAAATCTTAACTATGCCATGGAAGAGCCCAAAATAACTCAGCCTTACCTAGTTTATACTGTACCTTGGTATTTAGCCTACAGCACAGGTCACACCAATAGATTTCATTAATATTATCATTCGGTTATAAATGGGCTAAATTCAGCCCTGGAGGGCTATGGAAGTTAATGGAGTTTGGTCCAACATGTGATTAATGAGGATGATCTATTTCAAGTCTATAAGGTAGCAAGCTTTAGCTGCCACAGATTGGCTGACAGTAATTCACCTCTTCAGAGACGTGGCACTCGCTTCCATCCCCGACTGTGTCTGCTCCAAATAGCTGCAGCAGAAATAGACTTCAAAACAAAAACATTTCTTTGAAACTCTAAATGCTTCTGGTTCTGATTTTGATCTCACATACACAAGGAGCTCCTGTGACTTCGCTCGGCTTACTCCCAATAAGCGAAAGGAGAGATGGGCCCCTGTGATCTTTTTCTTTACAACTGTCCTCACTGCTTTAAAACTTTGAGCATTCCTGAATATTTCAGAAATTGTGGACTCTGATTGACAGGTTTAAACTCTACCCTTTCCACTCTGTTTCCATGAACATGTCCTCAGCATCTCTTGTAACCTCCCTCCATGCCCCTTCCCTAACCCCTCTGACTCATGTGCAGTAGGTGACAGCAAATATAATATCCCTGTCACTAGCTCCTTGGCTCTACATCAGATTTCAAGCCCTACATGAGCCTGTCTCCACATCACAAGAGCATTTAAGCATACGCTGAAGTCCGGCCCTATTCACTCGGGCTGCGTCTACGAGATGCTGACTGTGTAGTAGCTTGTTACTACTGTGCAGTAGTGTCACAGGGCACAAACTGTGATGCGATGCTACTACACAGTAGTAACAAGCTACTGCACAGTCAGCGTCGCCAGGCAGCCACGTGGGAATGCTACTGCACAGTACTGCCGGTTACTGCACAGTCATTTAGTACTTGGGTATGCAAGTACTAAATGACTGCACAATAACGACTGCACAGTCAGTACTGCGCGTAGACATGGCCTCTGACACTTAAGCATGTGCTTAAATGTTGCTCGGAACAGGGATGCTTTCTTGAAGTTCTGCATTTCAGGTCCCTCTGCTTGTGCCCTCTGTCCACACCTGCAGCTTTGTAATTTCCTTTTGAACTTCAGTCTTTACATCTTTCTTTCTTAATATATGTAGTCTGAAACAGCTGTCCTTTTTCTGTATACAAAATCTCTATGACCCCCCTCCCCTCCAACGCACACGATGACCTCAACCCTTTATAAAGACTTAAATCCTTCTTCAAGATCCAGATCCATCATGGTGAATCTAGAAGGCTTAAGAGGTTTTTCGGACAGAGAGTAACTGCTTCTGAACATCTGGAAGGAGCCTAGCACATTTTTGGACCCTTTTAACTTCATTAAGAATGGCTGGCATTTCATATGTCCTTGCACTCTTCCTTCAAGTTCCTTTTCTACTAGTGCTCTTGTGCTGAAGCTGGGGTAATCCACATGGCTTCCCTTTGACCCAGTCCTCGTGTTTCCTTTTCCCATCACTCACTGTATTCGTAGTTCCATAGATGTTTGGGTCAGAAGGGACCTCAAAAGATCATCGAGTCCGACCCCCTGCCCTGGGCAGGAAAGAGCACTGTGGTCATATGACCCCTGCCAGGTGCTTGTCCCGTTTCCTCTTGAAGATCCCCAAGGTGGGGGAGAGCACCATCTCCCTTGGAAGCCCATTCCAGATTCTGGCAACCCATACCATAAAGAAGTTCTTCCTGATGTCCAACCTAAATCTGCTCTCTGTCTGTCTGTGGCCATGGTTCCTGGTTATTCCAAGGGGTGCCCCAGCAAACAGAGCATCTCCAATTTCTTGCTGCCCCCCGCACCCTATGAATTTCTAAGCGGCCACAAGATCCCCTCTCAGCCTTCTCTTACGGAGGCTGAAGAGATCCAGGCCCCTCAGTCTCTTCTCATAGGACCTTACCTGTAGGTCCCTAACCATACGAGTGGCCTCCTCTGGACCCTGTCAAGGTTATTCACATTCCTCTTGAAATGCGGCGCCCAGAACTGGACATGGTACTCCAACTGTGGCCTGACCAATGCCGCATAGAGGGGAAGTATTCCATCTATTTTAGGGCCCTACCTTGTGTTTACTGACATCAACATTGATCTCCACAGACCCAGACCTGAGGCCATGGACACCAAAACCAGAAAGGCAGATAAACTGCGTCCATATAGGTTTTCCTTGGGGTTTTCCAGGGAGACCATAGGACTTAGGTGAACAGTTCCCACTGAATGCAAAAACCATTCTGCAAACTCTGATCCATAGAGCTCCACCCAAGGGCACTACCAGGAATTCCAGCACAGATCAAACATGGGATAGGCAGGGCACTTTATTGGCCCACACCTCACTGGTAAGAAGGCAGTATTGAGAAGGCAGAAGATGAAAGAAGGCAGTGGATGAAATTCTCATCCACTGTATAGCCAGTTAACCTTGAATTAAAATGAGCTTTGTCTGCTGATATTCCTTTGCCAGACAAAGAGGCTATGGCCCAAGCCAGTAACTGAATCCATAGGTGACTGGTAGGGGGCCACATGCCCCCCTGCCGACAGGACTGTCCCCACCACTGAAGCTGCCGGCGGTGTCTGCGGGTGCTTGCCAGCTCTGTCCCTGATGCCAATGCCACGGGCAGCATCTGCGGGTGCTCACCAGCTCTGCCCCTGCTGCCGACGCTGGCTTCTGCGGGTACCCCCGCAGACTCAGGAGGCACCAGTCGCCCATGACTGAACCTCATCTTTCACACTACCTACCTCATTCAATTGGTCATATACTGTAGTTGATCACCACATAAAGGCAGCTATAACTTTCCCTTCCAGTTGAGCATGGTCTTATACACTTTGTTTACAAGACAATGAGGGCCCAGTTAATGGTTTTCTGTGCTGGGTCAGTTTGCTACTGGTTTCAAACCTCCCACTTATTGCTTTTATCACACAGCAGCAAAGTAGGTATGTACAGGATAGAAATATACATTCTCCCTAAAAACAGACTGTTTCCTTCCAACTTCCACTCAACCCTGATTTTAGAGACCATGCAACTAAAACAGCCTCCTAGGTAACATAACCTATCCATTTGATCTAGTTCTCGCTATAATTTCTGAGCTTTCCATGCACCCTTCCTGCCTTCCTTCAAGAACTCCTTGAGCCCACTTATTTGAGAATATGCTTGAGATAGAGGGCACAGTCCTCACTGGGAGGTACTAATGCTCAGGCTCTCTCTGAATCTAGCTTTGAGTTTCCTCCATCCCATACATTCAAAATGAAACATTTCATATCTTCATGGCCTGCTTTTAAGGAGGATAATGGGACTTCACGGAAGAAGGCTTGAATCCTTAGGGTGAGATCTTCAAAGCCACCTGGAAGACACCCAGCCACGCATTCAAAAGCCACAGGCAACTTTTCAAATCTTAGACCTAAATGGAATCTCTGAATATACCTGAGACAAATGGATGAATTCTGATCTCTTCTGCCAGCACAAGTCTGAAAGTCACTCCACAGACTTCAAGGAGTCCAGTAAAGCCAGTGGAATTACTGCACATTTCCACTCATGTGGAACTCTTCCCATCTTCTCCAGTTCATGAGGCCACGTGTGCTTTCTGGACCCTACAAAAAATAAGTAATTGTCATGTAAAAATAAAATAACACGACTCCGGAGAATAAGTCACTGGTGACAGGTAAGAAGCAGCTAGTTAGAAGGGTGGCTAATGTTCTAAAAAAAAAAATGAGCTGTTCACTGTATGTCAAGCAGCTGTAGAGACAATTCTTGCATTTACACATAGGTTAATGATTTGTCATAAATTTCAGTTTAATTTCCTTGTAGTCCACTTCCTCCATTACATATTCTTAATCATCTTCCTCGTATGCTCTCCTCCTACAGCTACTAATTATTCTCTTTCTACATTTGCCACACATCCGTTTGTGCTTATACATGGTGAATATTAATTTCAGTACAGTGGGGGGGGTTAATTAAAATAATGTTCTTCACAAAGAAATTTAATTACTAACAATTGTATTGAACAAATAAGGGAAAGTAACTAAACAAAAATGCCAGTCAGGGCAACAACCTACAATTCAAATGGCATCAGTCATGTTTCCACAGTTCATAGGGCTGATTTAATCAATCCAGGGTCCACAGGCCTTCATAGGGGCCCCATTGCCACAAGTTATCCTTCATTTCTCAAGCAGATACAGTTGTCATTTCAGTGCCTAGGGCAATCAACCAGTAACTCAGCTGCTCAGGAATTGGTTGGCAGAGTAGCTCTGTGTAATATGTTCCTGCCAACTTAATTGAGAAGAAACCTCTTGCCTTGTTTTGTGTCTTCTCTTAACAGTAGCAACAGGATCTACCACAGGCGATATCCCTAAGAACTATGTATTTAGGCTTAAAATAAGCCTGTAGAGTCGAATTCCAGACCCAGTGACTCAGATCTTCTCACCTCACTGGCAGACAACTGAGTATCATTTAGTTGTATGCAGGCAGGTCTTTCAAAGAAGCCTGTAATGTGATATAAAGCTTGTAAGGTTTATGAAGGAAGTTTCCTGAGCCAGCACTTACCCATTTCATGTTTGCTACTTAAGAAAAATAATCAAGAGGTAATGGCAGCAATCACCTATGTCAGTGGGGCCAAACTTTTTGGCTGGAGTGCCACAACTTGACACTTCAATCCCCTTCCCCTGCTAGATCTGCTGCTCTGCTTTCTGCTCCCCACCCTGTGCTCCCTCCCTGATTTTCTGCTTTGCTATCTGCTTCCTACCCTATCTGCCACTCTGCTGCCTGCCCCTTCCCAATCTGCTGGGTGCCACACACAGAGGCTGCCTGTGCCAATTGTGGCTTCCAGGCTGCAGGTTGTCCACCCCTGACCTAGATAATAAACATAGCCTAGAAGAAGCAGTCAGGAGCATGTGACAAAAGTCATGCTGGAGAGTGTAGATCCTGTCTTGAGGGCACAAGTTTTGTGGTCAATGGGGGTGTCTACATATACGCATTTACTGTGCAGTAAACGAAATTATGGCGCAGTACAGGCATGCATCTATATGTGCATGCCCGTACTGTGCTGTAAATATGGTGACTTATGCTGACTTGAGTGTAAATTTGATACCGGTGTGGAGGCACAGTAGGGGGTGCTACTATGCAGAGCCACCTGCCTCACTGTGCCAGACCCGAAACCACACTTTGGGAGTCTCTCCTGGGGAGCCTACAGCCAGCTGTCCTGCTTCCTGGAGGACACCTGCAAGCCTGGGGTAACGCTGCCACCACCCGGGCACTGGCTTCTGGTAGGGCTCTGTGCAGCTCAGGGCATACAGATCCTGCAAGCCATGGGGGTGCTTTGCCCACAGTAATATTTCTGGGTGCTTCTTTCAGCCCAAAGCATCAAAAGATAGCATCAGGTAACTGAGAGAAAATAAAAAGACAAACTTCGCGGGCCAAACTGGGAGCGAAAAGCTTCCTCTCTCTCTACCCCCAGTAGCTCAACACGGCACACTGTAACCCAATACCTTTACTGATCAGGGGAGAGGAGGGTTTAGAACAAGGAAATCAGAATACACTTTGAGCAAACTTAAGCAATGAGAGTCTTATACAGTCTTGGACTCAGTGATCCTTTTAAGACCTTTCTGGCCTACACAATTCCTAACTCCTGGCTAGTTTCCAGGTTTTTCCTTCCAGTGAATCTCCAGGAACAAGCCTGGGGGATTTGCTTGCAGTGTTCAAAATGCTCACTGGAGAAAGAGGACGCTCCCTCCTCCTAGGAATTTATCTGGCCAGGTCACCTGATTGACCAGCCTGTACCAAGAAGAAAACCAGGAGATAGAGGGGTCACCTGGTTTGGCCCAAGGGAGGGGCAGAGAGGGGGATTTCTTCACAACCTGCATCATGCAGGTATCAAATTTATGCCTGATTAGTAACTGCACAGTAATGTACATGTAGACACCTTACTGCGTGGTAACACTGTGTGTGTGGATTGACTTGGGACTAACACAGCGTTGATGCGTTTTAATGCCTGCATGCGTAGATGCCAGCCTATTCCTGCTTACCGCACAGTAAATTTAAGGTGGTGCAAATGCATGTGTAGACATGCCCCATGTGCCTAATGAAACACTTTGGGGAAGTCACCCAGAAGTCCATAGGTCTCTACTATTCTGGACTGCTACTGGCATGTAAAATTCCTGCCGGAGCAACTAGTAGCTATGAGAACTACTTGTTCTGAACACCGGGCCCTGTATGTTCCCCAGTGCACGTAGGTCAAATTCAAATTGACAAGCCTTAGCCTAAAGAATGGCGCAAAAAAGCCCACCTCTTGCTGCCTCTGCCCCAGTGTCCCTTGGTTATAAGAAGGATGCGAACAGAAAATACTGGCCAAGCCTCCACAAAGTGGAGATGATGAGGTTACACTGGAAGAAACTGAGAAGAGAACTTGGGGCTGGACTGGAGAGAGGAACAGGCAACTGGAGAAATACTTTGCCAAGTTGGTTCTCTAAAAATCTACAGGCAAGATCCCTGGGGTAAATCGGTACAGCTCCGGTGACTCAGCTGATTGGCTGACTTCAATGGCATTGTGCCAGTTCACCGGCTGAGATTTCACTCCATTTGTTCGAAGCCAAAGAGGCATCTCTGTGAGCTCAGTCTTTTTTTGGTTTTGTTTTGTTGTGTTTTCACTCTTCTGCTGCATTCCCTTCCCCTGTGCCACCCCCCGGCAAACTTCCACAGACCTGGCAGAAATCCTTCAGCTGAAACCTCCAGCGCTGCATGGCTTGTCAGAACTGGAAGTTTCTATATAAGTCTGTGTTCAATTACACATTTTGTAATCGCAGAAAAAGAGTGACTCATTGAACACATTTTCAATAAACCCCCATATTTTTGCCTGAGCAGCTGAAATGTTTTAAGTTTTGATTGAAAAAGCAAAGAAACACGGTCTCACAGGGCGCCTATACACATGCAGCAAGGCTGCTCCGATGCGCTGTAATTAATCCAATCTGCTGGAAGATGGTAATTACCACAATCCAGCAGACTTCAGCATCTCCTGTATTCACATCCCTGCGCTGAAAAATGGTGGCGGGGGTCACTTTAACTAAAGCTTGTTCAACAAAGCTTAGCTTGTTCAACAAAGCTTTAACTTTAGTTAAACTTTAGTTAAAGCAGCCCGTCACCATTTTTCAACGCAGGGACAACGATACACAAGAGGCTCTGGGCTCTTTAATTAGAGATGCTCTTGGAGCCAGCCTAATTAAAGTGCCTCCCTTCCACTCCCAAAGCACATGTATAAAGTTGAAAAATGAAAAGCAGAACCCTTCTCAACTGCCCGGATTGACAGGCATGGAGCTGGTAGGAGGAAGACAAGGAGTGAGACTGACTTTCTCTGGATGGGTCCTTTTCTGCCGCTTCTTCTTTGCCCCCTCTCTCAGCATGGCTGATGCTTTTCCCTGTCACTTGCTGGAGCGTAGGAAGGAGAAAAACCTGTCTCTCCTCTGCTATAATCCACCATTACTGATAGTGGGATCCTATCCAGTGTTTATTTTTTTTCCTTATCTCAAGCATTGATTTATTCATCAAAATAGACTGAGACTTAAGCTTATTTGGAAATATACCCCAGTGAGGAAGCCAACAGTCCTGCTCCCCAAAAATATGCTCTGAAGGAAAACGAATAGCCTATGGAAAGGTTGCATACACCTCAGCTGGCATGGAACGAGAAGTGGAATCCAGTTCAAAGGCATAAGGAAGCCCCATCTCAATGGAAGCTGGGTGCCTAATACCTTTGGGTCCTTTGAAAATCCCAGTCAAAAAATACACTGTGTGCATTTGCAGGTGCAATACTGATGAATGGGTTTATTCCAGAGGAATTTACTCTAGAGTAAATCCACCCTGGACAGGCATCTACATGTGAGTGTATTTGGGAGCAGCCAGGAGGAAGTCTAGGCTCCCCCTGGGTGCTAGCCCAGGGGCTAGCACAGAGCACAGGGCCAGGAGACAGCTGTATCCTGGCAGGGGCCAGGAGATTGTTTCTTGCCCCTGGGAAATACCTGTTGCTGGGGTGGACTCCAGTGGTGGAGCCTGGGCAGGGACACCCCCCTACCCTGGCAGCAGGGAGCTCCCAGCCCCTGGGAGTTGCCACCTGCCACGACGGGCTCTGCCACCAAAGCCCAGGCAGGGGACAATGCCCCCCTATCCTGGTAGCAGGGTGCTCCCAGCTCCTCCTCTGTGATCATGGAGCTGGAGCTGCCTGCTGCCAGGTTAGGCTCCACCACTGGAGCCCAGGCAGGGACAATGTCCCCCTGCCCAGCTGCAGGGAGCTCCTAGCCCCCTCTCCACAATCGACAGCTCCCAGGATTACCATCACAGAGTGGAGTGGGGCCTGGGAGCTTCCTGCCAAGTAATCCCTGACACCTTGCCAGCAGGCAGCTCTCAGAGGCAGAGAGCAATCTCCCAGTCCCTGCTCCACAATCGCCAGGAGCTCCCTGCATGGAAAGCCCATCTCCACCCATCCTTGAGCTGACTGGGACCTGCCCCAGACGGGAACAGTTCCTGGTCAGCCCCAAGCTATGCAGAGAAATCTGCAAGTGCAGCCTGGAGCTGGCTCGTGACACTGTCCCTGCCTGGGCTCCACCAC